ATTAAAAGGATATTAGAAGACTCCACATTTAGTCATTGTTCATTCAAAACAAACTCAGTTTCGCCTCATCCCTCATCTATTGTACAAACATCTCATGTATATGTATCACCCAAATTACTTCCCATGCACCACTTGCTTGACAACGACATTAGAATTTATGTAGAAACGTCGCCTATATAGAATAAAGAAGTTGTATATCCATAAACATAATCCTCATTCTTCATCTACCCAACTTCTAGAATGCCAGTCAAAGAAGTCACCCAGTATTTGATGCATACCTGCCAACATTTGGAAATATTTTGAAGTATGTAGTTTGTACCTTTTCTATGTATTCATAATACCTAGCCCCCCAGATATCTAAACCATTTAATAATACAGGCAAGATTCTACTATACAAATTGTTACAAGCAACTGTAAAAGAAATATGCTTATTGTTTCAAAATAATCCATACTGGGAGAAAATGACTTTACTAGCTTTGAGGGAGATAGTTTGACATGCTTTTGACCACTTCAATGATGATGGAAACAGAACACCAAGGTAGCTATAATAGGTTACAGTTTTACCATTTAACATGTGAGCTCCCAGTGTACCACTTCTCCTTTCCGCTCACATTTCCACCGTTTCGGAATACAATAACATTCGTGTTCTTCATACTGATTTCAAGTCCCCACTTCTGACAGAATGCATAGACCACATCAAGCTGTTTTTTGGCAAACCAACCACAATGTAGGCAAACGTTGAAACATGATCATCAGCGAACACTAATAAGAGAATGTCTTCCATGTGATGAGAAACAACAATACCACTTTCACAATTTGCGTACATTTCCGTGACAAGTTCATTAGTGAAGAAAATGAATAATACTGGACTCAGAACACAGCCCAGACAAACTGTTGACATTTGTAACACCCGGGTGGAACTGAGACATACATAATCTGCTTTTATTGGCTGTTGTAAAGATGATCTAGCAAATGTTAGGAGATAAGTATTGGTTTTAGGTATGATCCAATCCTTTGTAATAGTGAAACGTTTCACCTCTGTAACAGCCTGATCTTCAAGCGCTCTAGCAATTTCCTCTCCGCTCATATCATACAGACAGCGTGCCCTGTCACGTATGATAACACGACAAGAATTGAGAATTCCATGCATGGACACAGCAACCTCTATATTGGCAAATGTTTTGGCATAAGATTTAGAGACTGCTGTCTCCGTGCGCACTCCACCAAATGTGACCCACTACGGAGACGGGTGGCATTTCTCACTTCCCCACAAATCCCATAGGTAGCCTTGGACACAGCAAATAGGTTTAGTTTAAAGGGTAGATAGTCTGTAGCCTCATTCACTATGAAATCTAGGTCAGGAATCAGATGATTTCGAGTTGAACCAGGTTGTTGGTGAGTCATGATGAAAGGAAAAAGATTCAGCACCCCTGGTCTTCGCCCACCACAGAGTGCTAACAAGCACGGCATCAATATGCATCGGATATCCAAGAAGCTGACAGCAGGGATACATGGGTGTTCTACAAGAAATTGGAGACATACATTATTCAGAGGTCAACATCACCAGATTGTCCCATGAGCCACGGAGTTCTGTCTTAGGACTCTAGGCAATTCAAAGTAGTCAATAATTCATAAACAGCAGATCAAAATATCCCAGACCCAATAATAACTTCTATTGTCTTTGTTTCTTCAATTTTTGTCTACTCTGGTCTGTTTTTCTAGTTTCCTTCTATCTTCCAGTGCCTTTTCAGCGTCCTATAATTTCTCATTTTGTCAACTTTGATATCTCCATTATCTTCAGTATTGATATCAATTACCCAGCCTTTCACTCACACCAATGAGGGGCGTTGTGTATAATATTGAGGTTCGAGTCCCAGATTCACCCAAATGATCCTTGGTTTGTTTGCACCATCATCCCAAGTTTCCACCTTTTTCCTCCACCAGCAAACTGCCACACCGTGATGTAACTGGAACACCATGCAACTAGGTCATATTGACATGTTTCCACTTGTGAACCCAGGCTAGCTACATATCTCTCTCACAAAGTGCAATTTGTGGGTCATTCGACAGCACAGCGATAGTATTTGGGGTGGTGCATTGTGCATGTAGAGACGCTTTCTGGGAGAAAGGTAGGGACGCTTTGAGTTCCTGTATAACTGAGTAGACGTGTGTGTGTCTCTCTGTGTCCGTGTGTCTGTGCGTGGGTGCGTGCGTGTCTGTCTGTGTGCCTGTTTATGTGCATGTGTGCAAATACACCCTGGTGTTCAGTGAACATAGGATGCGACTGGAGCACGTGCGTTCACAGGATCAGACCTGGGGACTCTCCATTTAATCCCCTTGACCTGTCCTCATGGGTGCTGATCATATTTTGAAAAGCCCTGGTTCTAATATATTGTCTAAATGCTTATATGAAATTGACTAGAACTGATGGCAACACATATTAGCTACATCCCAATATTGATATCTGCATAGAAGTTGCAATCGCTACATGCATCGTTTTAGGATGTATTTAGTGTGTGTCTTTGTCTACTGCCACAGTCATCTGTTGTCCAAATACATAACGATAACACATTGATTGTCGATTCTGAACCAGACAAACAAGTGAAAGAAAATAGGAGCTTTCGATTCTGACAGCCCGAACCATTAGTACAACAAGCATAGTTTACCAATTAGTTGCATTAGGAATCGGCTCAGGTGATGTCATTGATGTGGGATGAAACTTCTGAGACTCATTCGTTCGATGCCGAGGCGATTCCGTGCAGTTCTGGATGCCCACGGTGGTTACACGAGGTATTGACTTCAGCGCCACCACACGTCTCAATGTGACACTCAGACTGACTTTCCTCGAGTTGGTGCTATATTTCATTGACTCATAAAGCCTAAAAGATGTTTCAAAATAAACATAAAAATACAGTTGAAATTCCTACATGCGTTTCTTTTTTGGGAGAGTATATTTCTGAGGATCGTCAACACTAGTTATTCTTTAGCACTTTCATATTTAAAATCTTTCAATTTTGTTGGGCTTGTTTTGTTGAAAAGTGGTAGTACCAACCAAACTGGATGGATGTTACTTTCTAGTCCTAAACTAAGAACACTTAGTCTGCACTCGATTAAGGTATGATGCGTTGAGGGAACACGATGAATCATCCCACCACCTATCCTCCTCACGTCGCTTAGCACTCACTGTAATATCTTTGTATCTTACAGATTGCTTCAATTGTCCAGGATGAGGTTTGATACCGGAAGTGTGGTTCTGCTGTTGCTACTGTGTCTGCCTGGGTTTCAGGCCGCTAGGATTCTCTTCCTGTACATGCCTACATACAGTCACATTCGGGGATCTCTGAATGTGGCAACAGAGCTGGCTTCGCGTGGTCACGTGGTATGGAATGCTTTGTCAACTGAACTGGCCAATCACAAGGGCCTTCAAGCACAGGGCGTCCACATCCTGAAATACAAATCGGTTGATAAATATGTCTTCGGCAAAGACAAATTTGAAGACATTGTAAACGCATATTTCGATAAAGGCAGTGCTCTTTTGCCCCTGGATTTTATAAGATTAAGACGTGGCAGTATACTGAGTGACCAGGAATTATTCAGGAAAATCAAAGAGTTGAAGTTTGATCTGATTATATTCGATGCTACACCCGTAGCGAGAATGTTGACCATCATTGCTCACAGACTGGACATGCCTTTCATATTCATGGGGGCAGCTTCCATTCCTCAAGTTAGCCGGAATCCTTTCATTCCATCTGCTTTCCCGTCCATGTTTTTCCCAAAGACACCAAAAATGGACTTTTTGACACGTGTTGCGAATGTCATTACGACAGTGATGTACGTGTTTGTTTATGATCTGTTCTCTACCTATAGGCCAGTAGCAGCCTATGCCCCAGAGAAGCCGTACATCTCAATGGAAGCCTTGACAGCTAAGGCCTGGCTTTGGCTCATCGACATTGAACCTCTCCTTGACTACCGAGCAGCCACCTTGCCCAACGTCAAGCTAATTGGATCTCTGTCAGCGTCTGAACCAAAGCCACTCCCTCAAAAATACAAGGAGTTTATGGACAAGGCAAAAGAAGGCGTGGTCATTGTTTCGTTTGGAAGTATTATGAAGTCGCTTCAAGATAAAATATCGAAAAGGTTACTGGATTCATTTTCGCGGACGAACTACAAATACATATTCAAAACAGACAAAAATTTCAAAGTGGGACCAAATGTATTGTTAACTGACTGGATGCCACAGTCGGACTTACTTGCCCACCCAAACGCTAAATTGTTTATCACCCATTGTGGGGCTAATGGTCAGAATGAAGCTTTCTTGCAAGGTGTCCCGATGATTGGTTTTCCCATATTTGCAGATCAACCCTATAATTCAATGAGGCTTGAGTATCATGGCTTCGGTATTAATATGGATTTAAGAACATTTACCGTTGACGATTTGGTATCCAACATCAATGAGGTGATCCAGAATTCTTCGTACTCACAGAAAATCAAAAAGGCTGCCGAAATCACAAAGTTCCGAGAAAGAAGTCCCAAAGATGAAGCTGTTTACTGGATAGAACATGTGCTCAAATATGGCGGCGCCCATCTGAGGTCGTATTGTCAGGACATGCCGTTGTATCAGTATTTGTGTCTGGACGTCATCGGGCTTGTCCTGCTCATCCTCCATGTGTGTGTTTTCCTTCTATGGAAGTCGTGCAGCTACGGCTACAGAACTATTGTCCAAAGACCAAAAGAAAAACGTGAATGATTAATTTGTTATTTTGGCTGAAAATATTACATTGTTGCCGTGAAGTTATATACCATGGAAATATTATCATGTTTGTTAAGAGTGGTCTTCCAAGAATATCCCAGACAAGTTCTATGGGTTACAACTCCGGATTGAGAGCTGAAAATGTCAGCTGGAGGGGCTCGGTAACAATACGAGCCCTGTGTTCTCTTGCCTTGTCATCTTGAAACAAAAGACGAGGGCCATGTCAGTGATCAAATGACATTAACTTACATACCTCCAACGTATCTCTGTAAATAGTCACTGGTGGTATTTCCAATTTCTTCTTTCAAAAGTCCCTTACCTGATAGTTGACCTATTGCACTATAAACGGAAAAAATTGTGAAGTCAGGGTCGAGGCAACGAACAATTTATCACGGTGTGTATCGTAGTAGCCAGGTGTATTTTCAGCGCCAGCTTCAAGTCTGTTTCCTTGTAGTCGCCATTAATCAAGTCTTGTATATTTGTACAGTGCATGTAAAAAATGGACCAAGTTGGTTTCCTGTTCATGTATGTGTTGTGCAAGTTCCTGAGCGCCTGACTTGTACACCATATTTCAATTGATATATACGAATGGATGAAAGTATTGCAACACACGATAGTTTTATAATATCAATATGCTACCAATAAGCATGAAAAAGGACCTTATTCAAACCAAAATGAACTTTTCATCTGGATAATTGGCCTCAACGAATAATTACACAGCAAATATTAACACAAGAAGAAAACACAGAACCAAACATATGATTGTCTCCTCAGTGACTGTATCAGACGGCGAATTTGACGTTAAGGCATTGCGTTCCATACTTGATGGATTTGCTTTTCAAATACACAAAAGAGTTGTAGTTGGTTATCTCTCTGGCGTAATCTACGATCTGCAATGTCCCAAACATGCTCTATGGAATTGAGATCTAAATTCCTGGAGGCGCAAGGTAGAGTTGTTCTTGACGTTACAAATCATCAACGGCACGATGTGGCCTAGCATTGTAGTCCATGAGGACTGGTCTTGTGTTCCGAGGACGGTCATGGACATGTGGTACAACAACCCTGTCCAGGATGTCAGTTGTCCATTCCGATTTTGTGTGATATTATGATATATACGAGGTCAAGTTTACAGTTTTGTGAGAGGTACCAAGACAACATCAGTAACAAAACAATAATATGAAAATAAACTTGAAGTTGTAAGAAATTTATTGACAAATAATTAAGCAATCAAATAACTGGAAAATAATTGAAAAAATTAGAAGGTAAATGAAACTTCGGGTGTTAAAAAATCCCTAAAAATTCCAAGAAATTCAGGAAATATAGTTTGTGTAACAGAATGAAGGAGAAAGTAGTTGACATTTCAACAAGAAAATAATCAAGAGAAATCACCGAGATGAACTTTGTGAGTGGTGGAATCGTAAATCGTTAATCTCTTAAATCTGATCCCGGGATCCAGACGCTGATCACAGATCAGTCACTGACACGAGATACAGTTTACAAGTATACTACTACAGCACACCTCGGGTTGTTTGAATGCAGCCTACGAGACACGGGCTTCCTTGATAAGATCACGAGTCAAACAAGGTACGGCTTTCAGGTGTACTACTAAAGTTGATCTTCTATCTCTGTTACTTTTATTTCTGCCTACTCTGGTCTGGATCTCAAGTGTATCCCTACTGTTTTCTATTTTCCTTGCATCTTCCATTGCCTGTTCAGCGTCCTATAATTTCTCATTTTGTCAACTTTGATATCTACAATATCTAAGTGTTGATATCAATTACCCACCCTTTCACTCACACTGTGCACCAATGAGGGGCGTTGTGTATAAGACACGTATATGCGATGGTGAAGTTCGAATCCCAGATTCACCCAAATGATCCTTGGTTTGTTTGTACCATCATCCTGTTGTTTGTTCCACCTCTTTCCTCCACCAGCAAACTGTCACACCGTGATGTAACTGGAACACCAGGCAACTAGGCCATATTGACATGTTTCCACTTGTGAACCCAGGCTGCTACTGTCACACCGTGATGTAACTGGAACACCAGGCAACTAGGCCATATTGACATGTTTCCACTTGTGATCCCAGGCTGACTACTGTCAGACCGTGATGTAACTGGAACACCATGCAACTAGGTCATATTGACATGTTTCCACTTGTGAACCCAGGCTGCTACTGCCACACCGTGATGTAACTGGAACATCATGCAACTAGGTCATATTGACATGTTTCCACTTGTGATCCCAGGCTGCTACCGGCACACCTTGATGTAACTGGAACACCATGCAACTAGGTCATATTGACATGTTTCCACTTGTGAACCCAGGCTGACTACTGTCACACCGTGATGTAACTGGAACACCAGGCAACTAGGTCATATTGACATGTTTCCACTTGTGAACCCAGGCTGCTACTGTCACACCGTGATGTAACTGGAACACCATGCAACTAGGTCATATTGACATGTTTCCACTTGTGAACCCAGGCTGCTACTGTCACACCGTGATGTAACGGGAACACCAGGCAACTAGGTCATATTGACATGTTCCACTTGTGAACCCAGGCTGCTACTGCCACACCGTGATGTAACTGGAACATCATGCAACTAGGTCATATTGACATGTTTCCACTTGTGATCCCAGGCTGCTACCGGCACACCTTGATGTAACTGGAACACCATGCAACTAGGTCATATTGACATGTTTCCCCTTTGTGAACCCAGGCTGCTATGACACAGCATATCCCTCTTACAAAGTGCAATTTGTGGGTCAATCGACAGCACAACGATAGTATTTGGGGCAGTGCATTGTGCATGTAGAGACGCTTTCGTCGGAGAAAGGTAGGTAGGTTTGTGAGTATAACTGGGTAGAGGTAGTCTCTCTCTCTCTCTCTCTCTCTCTCTCTCTCTCTCTCTCTCTCTCTCTCTCTCTCTATCTCTCTATGTGTGTGTGCGTGCGTGCGTGCGTGTGTCTGTTTATGTTCGTGTGTGCATTATACCCTAGGGTTCAGTGAACATACGATGCGACTGGAGCACGGGTGTTCACAGGATCAGCCCTTGGGGACTCGGCAATTAATCCCCCTTGATCTGTCCTCATGGGTGCTGATCATATTTTGAATGACCCTGGGTCTATATCAATTATCACGCGAGTGTCTTTTGGGGTGGTTAATATACTGCAGTAGGATTATATCAACATTGTATTTAGCGAGCCTTTCATAAACCCGGTTTACTGTAAAATATAAGGCGATCTATGCGGGTAATATATGATTTAGGTTATGGTTTTTGTGGGGAAATGCTGACAGTTATCATTTAGATATTTCCATATTCCTGTGCACGTGGTTTTCCATCACAAGGGATAAATATTTCAATGTTAAAACAGGATCTTTTTTAAAATGTTAATTACAATTTAGTCATTGAATATTTAAAGGAAATATAATTTTTTCATGAATTTTGAATAATATTTTTAAAAAAAACTTCAATAAATAAATAAATGGTATTTTAAATGGTATAAATTAATAACTGCGATTGTTAGTGGCTGTATCCTCAAAGGGGGTTAAAGTTCTGTAAAATAATTGTCCTTCTGAGAGGGTACGTAAGTCCCCAAACACCAAAAGTCATTTACACATACCACTGTCTTTGACTGTAGGAAAAATAATCTCCCCAAAAAGAAACGCATATAGGAATTTCAACTGTATTTTTATGTATATTTTGAAACATCTTGTAGGCTTTATGAGTCAATGAAATATAGCGAAATTGCACACTGGGAATGCGAACTTATCTGTCTTTGGCACCAACTCGAGGAAAGTCAGTTTGAGTGTCACATGGAGACGTGTGGTGGCGCTGAAGTCAATACCTCGTGTGACCTCCGTGGGCATCCAGAACTGCACGGCATCGCCTCGGCATCGAACGAATAAGTCTCAGAAGCTCGTGTTGCCCAACTGCAACCCACTCTGCCTGTAGTGCCTGTGCGTCGCACCCGTCTGTCCAGGGCATCCCACAGATGTTCGATCGGGTTTAAGTCCGGTGATCTTGAGGGCCAGGGGAGCACATTGATGTTGTGGTTCTGGAGGAAGTCTGTAGTGTGACGTGCTGTGTGGGGCCTGGCATTGTCCTGTTGAAACAACTCCCTCTGGCGATCAATGATTGGAAGGAGGTGTGGTTGTAGGATTTAGTCACAGTACCATTGAGCTGTCAGGTTGCCCTATGATCATCACCAAATCACTTCTCCTACGGCAGGTGATCGATCCCCACATCATAACACTTCCCCAGCCGAATCTGTCCACCTGGGGAACGCAAGCGTCGGCGAAACGTTCACGTCGACGTCTGTTCACCCGCATTCTTCCATCGTGTCGTTCCAATATAAATCGTGATTCATCACTGAACCAGATTCTACGCCAATTCGGTAGGTTCCAGGCCTGAACGTTGGTGCACCTTTGAACTCGATGTCGACGATGTTGTTGTCGAAGCACAGGGCCAAAATAAGGTCTTCCACGTAAACCAGCCTGTCTCAACCTGTTCCTGACGGTCTGTGCAGAAAGCCTCCTCAATCCGGGTGTTTGTCGAGCGGTACTGGTCGCCGTAGCTGTTCGATGATGCAGGTGATGTACCCGGATGTAGCAATCCTGCGCCGCAGTGGTCGCCCGAGGTCGCCCACTACGAGGGGCATCTGCTACCGCATTCTGCCGGCGATATCTCTCCCAGAGCCGTGAAATGGTGCTTTGGTGAACATTCATGCGTCGGATAATTGGACGTTGAGACTGGCCTGCTTCAAGCAAACCAATGGCGATAGGACGGTTGGCTTCACTTAGACGTGGCATTTTGCGTTCGTCAACAATATTCCAAATACAGTGAATGATCTACAGACAGCGATCAACCTTTTATACCCATCATTGAGACTATCTGATCCCCAACTTTCACGTGCATTGCATGTGATTTGTGTATTCTGTGACACTACACGCCGAAATGCAAAATCATGCTGTTAAATACGGGTGTTTTACGGATGGTGCGTTTGGTTGTGATGTTTCAAAACATAAACACCATAGGACTCATAAACAGAGCAAAACCTTTTTGTAAAATGAATCACGTTTTAATTCATTGCTACATGAAATTGCGATTTTCATGTTGCGTTTCTTTTTGGGAGAGTATATGTTATTTTATCTTAAGGCTAGATTTGACTACAATCACCAACATCGGAAGGGATGGTGTATATCCAGCTAGGGTTCATGCAGGTAGCAAAGGCACTGTAAGTCCCCATGGTCCCTAGTATGGTGATCTACCTATAGCCGATTTTTATACTGTCTTGTCCTAATTTGAAATCCAGTTTTAGAGAGAGATGCTAGTTTTACTTCTTGATATTGTGATATTCCAAGTTGGTTTTACTGTCCTTCGTTGACGGGGTGTTATAATATACATGTATTTATGGTCAATTTGAAATTTGTTTTAGTCACAATATGGCTGAAATATTGCCAAAGTGACTGTAAATTTTAACTCACCAACTCACCTATGCACGTGGTGTAGATGTGAAATTGACAGATTATTGACTGATATTGACACATGACTAACAGAAAGTATTAGTGTTATGGTCTAAGGGAGCTGTATATCTAAACAATGACATGTGTTCAAGTATCATCTGGTGTTTTGTGGCGTAATGTCTATTTCAATAACAAAGATACCTCTAGGGTTTCTAAAAGAAAGATTTCAATAAGATTTCATATGATTTGGAGATTTAATGTGAGCTTTCTGACATAATGCGCATTTGGCACAAGGGCGTGCCAGGACATGCAGTTTTTGACATTAAACGATGGCATGATCTGACTTACATGTAAACATAAGTGAAACGTGTTCAAAAGAATAACTACAGACAAATGGAATAATTACACAACATCACAGCTGGAATATGTACAGAGGACAGAGGATACACAAAGAAAAAATATATTACATCACAACTAAACTAAGGGTATTCAAAAATATAAAAATATAAAAGAGAGAGGTGCAGCAGTTTTACATTCATTTCAATCCTTTAGTGTGATGAATACATCTACGGAGAGTTTGGAACAGGTGTACATTTTCATTGTAGTTCAGCTGGGCGCTCATTTTAGACAATAATAACAAATTGATTTGATGGGGGAACAATCCTAAAAAAGAGAGTAAATTTTTTTTGTCTTTTCGTAAACGTATTGATGCCAGTGTTTTGCTATTTCGGTTTTTGATTTGACATTGTTTGGATGGACCAGGACCCAGCGAAGATCATTATTGTTTTTCAAAAGCATCACATCTTGGTTGTCTCTGACAATGTCGGGTAGTCTAGAGGTTAACTTTTCAAGGACAATAATTCAAAAATTAAGTTGGAATTCAGATTGTGCGAAAAGCGTTGTTTTAAGTCTTCAAGCGGTTAATGAAAACATACATTTTATCCTCAAGACGGTAAAAAATAATATAAAAAAGACCACTTTGTTTGTTTTCATCATAGCATCTGAAACATTTAGGAAAGTGGGGTAGGTTAGACAATAAAGTACTCATACATCACGCCGAAGGTCCGGGATCGATTCCAAACAGGATACAATGTGTGAAACACATTTCTGCTGTCCTCCTTGGCATATTTCACGACTCAAAATAATATCTTTCTATCTTCCAGAGAGCTTCAATTGTTCAGGATGAGGTTCGATACCGGAAGTGTGGTTTTGCTGTTGCTGTTATGTCTGCCTGGGTTTCAGGCCGCTAGGATTCTGTTCCTGTACATGCCTACATACAGCCATATCCGGGGATCTCTGAATGTAGCAACAGAGCTGGCTTCGCGTGGTCACGTGGTATGGAATGCTCTGTCAACTGAACTGGCCAATCACAAGGGCCTTCAAGCCTACAACGTCCACATCTTGAAATACAAATCGGTTGATAAATATGACTTCGACAAAATAGTGAGTGACCACATGGCTAAAACATATCTCCAAGAAAGCAGTCCTCCTTTGCCCCTAGATTTTAAAAGGGATATTTGTGGTAGTATACTGAATGACCAGGAATTATTCAGGAGAATCGAAGAGTTGCACTTTGATCTGATTATATTCGATCCTGTACCCTTAGCGAGAATGTTGACTATCATTGCCCACAGATTGGACATTCCCTTCATATTCATGGGGGTAGCTTTCGAACCTCAAGTTAGCCGGAATCCTTTCATTCCATCTGCGTTCCCCTTCATCATTTCCCCAAGAACACCGAAAATGGACTTTTTGACTCGTGTTGCGAACGTCATTACGACTGTGATGTACGTGTTTGTTTATGATCCGTTCTCTACCTATAGGCCAGTAGCAACCTATGCCCCAGAGAAGCCCTACATCTCAATGGAAGCCTTAACAACTAAGGCCTGGCTTTGGCTCATCGACATTGAACCTCTCCTTGACTACCCAGTAGCAACCTTGCCCAACGTCAAGCGAATTGGATCTCTGTCAGCGTCTGATCCAAAGCCACTCCCTCAGGAATACAAGGAGTTTATGGACAAGGCAAAAGAAGGCGTGGTCATTGTTTCTTTTGGGAAGTAATGTGAAGTCGCTTCCAGGTACAATATCGAAAAGGTTACTGGATTCATTTTCACGAACCAACTACAAATACATATTCAAGACTGACAAAAGGGTCAAGGTGGGACCTAACGTACTGTTTACTGACTGGATGCCACAGTCGGACTTACTTGCCCATCCCAACACTAAATTGTTTATCACCCACTGTGGAGCTAATGGTCAGAACGAGGCTTTCTTACGTGGTGTCCCGATGATTGGTTTTCCCATTTTTTGGAGATCAACCGTATAATTCAATGAAGCTAGAGTATCATGGATTCGGTCTACATATGGATTTGAAAACGTTTGCTGTTGATGATTTGGTGTCAAACATCAATGAGGTGATTCAGAATTCTTCCTACTCACGAAAAATCAAGAAAGCTGCCGAAATCACCAAGCTCCGGGAAAGAAGTCCCAAAGATGAAGCTGTTTACTGGATAGAACATGTGCTCAAATATGGCGGCGCCCATCTAAGGTCGTATTGTCAGGACATGCCGTTGTATCAGTATTTGTGTCTGGACGTCATCGGGCTTGTCCTGTTCATCCTCCATGTGTGTGTTTTCCTTCTATGGAAGTCGTGCAGCTACTGTTATAGAACTATTGTCCATAGACCAAAAGAAAAACGTGAATGATTAATTTGTTATTTTATTTTAAAATATGACATTGTTGCCTTGAAGTTATATACCATGGAAATATTACCATGTGGATATTTAAAGAATGTATCACATATATCTTTATTGTAATAACCAAGTTGCTTGTTTCTTAATTCTTTATTCTTGTCTTCTTATTTCTTGATACATTTCTTTTAAAGTTCAATTAAATGCAGATTGACTGAAAGAGATGAAAATCTCTCTTACTATTTAACGATATGAAAATTCAATGTTAACCAGTTTCCCTTAAATGGAACTCCACGGCATATGAACATAAAGGTTAAGTATGGTAAGGTGAGCTAACATGGTGACATACTCAACACAAGGGGAAAACAAGTGTCTGTGCCCAGAATAGATATCACAGAACTACTGTAACTTTAACATGCTAAATATATATGTATATACATAAAGCATTATTGCATTTAATGTAACCACTTTATGTCTGAGTCAAAAGTATAAGTGGCTTACCATTGTTTTAGACCTCTAGCTTGTGGACTTGGTGACTTGAGCATGTGCATGCTGAGAGCACATGGCATGATATACGTGACCCCAGGCATTTATCTCCCCTTAACAGATATGGAAGGGTAACTTTAGACTGGTTTATCATAAACTTAGAATGTTAAATGAAATATGAATATAAATTTGGAACTTAAGTGAAATGGGAATGATACAAATTTGAAACTTAAAGGAAACGAAAAATGATTAGTTGACTTTGGCCACAACATTTATATTAAATCTCTTTAATTTCATTAATGGTTTAACAATGTAACAGGGACATCTGGCTGAGACTTGCAAACAGATTTTTGTCAGATGATTGGCAAAGCGCCCTCTCGTCCATCACGTCAGTTCTTTCCACCCCATTCTTGCTACTTGCCAGCGACAAGTTTGTTAAGAGTGGTCTTCCAAGGATATCCCAGACATGTTCTATGGTTTACAACTCTGGGTTGAGAGCTGACCATGCCAGCTGGAGGGGCTCGGTAACAATACGAGTCCTGTGTTCTCTTGCCTTGTCATCCTGAAACAAAAGACGAGGTCCATGTCAGTGACCAAATGTCATTAACTGACATACCTCCAACGTATCTCTGTAAATAGTCACTGGTGTTGTTTCCGGTTTCTTCCTTCAAAAGTCTCTTACCTGATAGTTGACCTATTTATTGCACTATAAAGAGAATAATTTGTGGCGTCAGGGTCGAGGCAACGAACAGTTAATGATTGTGTGTATCACAGTAGCCAGGTGTATTTTCAGCGCCAGCTTCAAGTCTGTTTTCCTTGTAGTCGCCATTAATCAAGTCTTGTATATTTGTAGAGTGTATGTAGAAAATGGACCAAGTTCATTTCATGTTCGTGTATGTGTTGTGCAAGTACCTGAGGGCCTGAGTTGCACACCGCATTTCAATTCATATACACACATTGATGAAAGTAGTGCAACACACCATATTTTTATAGTATCAATATGCTACCATGAAGCATGACAAACGATCTTATTCAAACCCAAGGGGACTTTGGGATTTTCGAGGTATTGCGTTCCATACTTGATGGATTGCCTTGCTCAATACATGAAGGTTTTGTACTGGATTATCTCTATGACGTATGCTGCGATCAATAATGTCCCAAAGATGCTCTATGGAATTGAGATCTAGATTTCTGGAGGGGCAAGGTACACTTTTGCTACAGCCTCTTGACGTTACAAAAAAACCAGCTGCACGATGTGGCCCAGCATTGTGGTCCATGAATACTGGTCTGTGTTCAGAGGATGGTAATGGACATGTGGTACAACAACCATGTGAGTTGTCCATTCCAACTTTGTGTGATATTATGATATATACGAGGTAAAGTTTACGGTTTTGTGAGAGGCACCACGACAGGATCAGTAACGAGACAAAAATATGAAAATAAACTTGAAGTTGCAAGAAATTAATCGACGCAATAAAAAAGCAATCGAAAACGTTGAATATACCAATTATAAAACCTTGATCTATTACAAACATATCAAACTTTATGTATCAATTGTGTTTCTTTCAAATATTCATGACAATTATCACTAAAATGATCCTTCACTGTTTTGATATTGAAATATGTATCCCATTTGATAGAAAAATCAATACAGGACATGCTTCACCGTGATTCTCTCATCACAAGGGATGCAAAATGGAGGATCTTCGGAGAGAAGGAGTGGTAATCACTGTATTGTCGTAAATGAAAATTATCTGTATTTTGTAGATATGTCTCTTGGAGACATAATGCTGACGGATGAAAATCTTGCTTAGTAACTGATGAAAATCGTTGAAGGTTTTAAAATCCTCTGCAGTTCCAAATTATATTGATCAATTTTTCGTTTTCGTGAATGGGAGGAGGAACTTCCACCGCCTGTCCTATTGGGACAATTTGACCTCAATGGTTTGAATTTTGGAGAGAAATCTCTGAAGGTGAAAAGTCAGTAGATGGCAAGTTTCTGTTTAATTTTTCCTTCCTTTTGTTGGGGATGACTCGATGCTGACAGTGGCTGACTGTTGAAAACCATCGTTGTGAAAGGCCGTTCCGTCTGAGACCCAGACGTCGACAGCGATGGCACGATGCAGAATTATGGCATGTGTTGAAACCATGACCAAACTGTTGACATTTGTAACACCCGAGCAGATTGGAGACATACATAGTCTGTTTTTATTGACTGTTGTACATAAGCATTGGTTTTAGATATGATCCCATCCTTGTTTGTAATATTGAAACGTTTCACCTCTGTAACAGCCTGATCTTTAAGCTCTCTCGCAATTTCCTCTGCAGTCATATCATAGAGACAGCGTGCCTTGTCACGTATGATACCTCGGCAAGAATGGAGAGTTCTATGCACGGACACAGCAACCTCTATATTGGCAAATGTTTTGACATAAGATTTAGAGATTGCTGTCTCCGTGCGCACTCCATCAGAAGTGAACCACATAGGTAGCCTTGGACACAGCAAATAGGTTTAGTTTAATGGGTAGATAGTCTGTAACCTCAATCACTTGGAATGTAGGTCAGGAATCAGATGGACGATCTAGTTCGTCAGACGTCGCTTTTTTCATTTCGAGTTGAACCAGGTTGTTGGTGAGTCATGATGATAGGATAAGGATTCAGCACCCCTGGTCCTCGCCCACCACAGAGTGATAACACTCACGACGTCGATATGCATCGGATATCCATGAAGCTGACAGCAGGGATACAGGGGTGTTATGCAAGAAATTGGAGAACTACATTTTTCAGAGGTCAACATCACCAGATTGTCCCATGAGCCACGGAGTTCTGTCTTAGGACTCAATTCAAAGGCAATTCAAAGTAGTCAATAATTCATACACAGCAGATCAAAATATCCAAGACCCATTAATAACTTAAGTGTGCAACTACAAAAAAAGTGTACTACTACAGCACATCTTGTGTTGTTTGAGTGACTGGGATACAGTTTACAAGACAAGGGCTTCCTTAATAAGATCACTAGTCTTATGATTTCTGTATCCTCATTTTCTAATCGTGCAATTGCGATGATTGGAAAATGTTGTCCACCGAACATCTTTTGTCTTTGTTTCTTTAATTTTGTCTAGATCTCAAGGGTATACCTCCTGTCTTCTATTTTCCTGTCCCAGTGCTTGCTTAGCGTCCTATAATTTCTCATTTTGTCAACTTTGATATCTCCCTTATCTACAGCATTGATATCAATTACCCACCCTTTCACTCACACTGTGCACCAACGAGGTGTGTTGTGTGTTGTGTATAAGACACGTATATGCAATATTGAGGTTCGCATCCAACTTCACCAAAAATGCCGTTTGTACCATCATCCCAAGTTTCCACCTCTTTGCTCCACCGGCAAACTGTCACACCGTGATGTAACTGGAACACCATGCAACTAGGTCATATTGACATGTTTCCACTTGTGAACCCAGACTAGCTGCATATCTCTCTTACAATTTGTGGGTCAATCGACATCACAACGATAGCTTTCGGGACTGTGCATTGTGCATGTAGAGACGCTTTCGTGGGAGAAAGGTAGGAAAGCTTTGAGTTTGTTGTATAACTGAGTAGACGTAGTGTGGCTGTGTGTGTGTGTGTGTGTGTGTGTGTGTTACACCCTGGTGTTCAGTGAACATACGATGCGACTGAAGCACGAGTGTTCACAGGATCAGACCTAGGGGAGTCCCCAGTTAATCCCCCTTGATCTGTCCTCACGGGTGTTGATAATATTTTGAATGACCTTGCACTATATAAGTTATCACGTGTTTTGTGATGGGTAATATCCTACATTTGGAATAAATATACATTGAATTTAGCGAGCCTTTCATAAACCCCATTGTATTTGGCTAGCCTTGGCGAGCTGAATACACAGTGTTAATTCCTAATGCTGGGTATTGAACCATCACAAAACACACGAGTGTGAGAATATAGTCATCATACATTATCATTCTTAATTCATAATTTGAAAATTGCGATTTCCGCCACAAATTATGAACAAAACTTCGTAGTATGTGCACAGATATACAACAAACTTGTGTGGAACTTCAGGAACCTTCTATTAACCTTTTGAACGACAAACACACTTTAACATTCGCGTGACTTTCTGCACCGATAGATGGGCGTGACGCCTTGTTTGTTTACACTGTGAAAATAGTCCATCAAATTTGCATATGACCTCTCTAATTTGCATCGGTAACCGTATATGACCCCAACGGATACCGAAAATATCCGATGGCTTTATCCTGCCGAGTGCTCTATCCATAAAATATTATCATCTAAATGCCTATATCAAATTGACTAGAACTGTCAGTAACACATATTAGCTATATCCCAATATTGATATCTGCATAGACGTTGCAATCGCTATATGCATCGCAAATATGTTTAAGGATGTATTTAGTTTGTGTCTTTGTTTACTGTCGTAGTCATCTGTTGTCCAAATACATAACGATAACACATAAACTGTCGATTCTGAACCTGACAAACCAGCTGCAGTGAAACAAATTATGAGCTTTCAAATTGTGACAGCCCGAACCATCAGTAGCACGACAAGCATAGTTTACCATTTAGTGGATCCAGGAATCACGTCATGGGTGATGTCATTAACTTGATGAGAACAGCGGTATGAATACAACGTGTATCGTTTAGAACACACGTCTATGGTATGAAATGTGCAAGGTGAGGCAAGTTTATTTCTCATTCTGAGATTTGTTTGGTGGGGTCAGTTATTTCTCATTTGTTAGAAATTTGTAAAGTGATATTACTGACAAACATCTTGTAGTATTAACTTTTAGCAACAGGTTTCAATAACAGAATGGCGGCCTCGGTATACTTTCTGTTGCCCACCAGCTGACGACCTCAAGGGCTTCCGGGTATGTTCAATTTCGACATTAAAACGTCAGACTGTGCTCGTAACACAATTTCTATCCCAAATTCGGCAGAAAGATTTAAGACGTTAAACCGTGTTTACGTCCACTGGATCCCTCCCAACTGGGTTTTCCCCCCATCAGATTAGAAGAACATCCTGCCTTGGATTATAAATAAGTCAAAAGGCAAAGTGTGTAAATGCCGGGTTATACAATTTGGCATCACTGATTTTAAGTATTCGACTTATGTAATCCCCACAGTTGTTTCGCATTTGTCATGAAGTTGAATATATTTCTGAAAATCGTCAAGACAAGTTATTCATTTGTACTTTCATATTTAGGATCTTTCTTGTTTATTGGGCTTGTTTTGTTGACAGGCGGTAAACTGGATGGATGATTTGTTCTAGTCCTAAACTAACAACACCATGATAACCGTAGGGAGCTGGGCTTAGCTCAGTGGCTAAGTCACCCATTCGTCAGGACGATTAAAGTATGATGCACTGAGGGAACCAGAAGAACCACCCCCAACCGATCCTCTCACTTTTAGCACTCACTGTAATATCTTTATATCTTACAAATAGATTCAGCTGTCCAGGATGGGGTTTGATACCGGAGGTGTGGTGGTGCTGCTGCTGCTGCTGTGTCTGCCTATGTTCCAGACCGCCAGGATTCTCTTCTTGTACATGCCTTCATTCAGTCACATCCGGGGATCTCTGAATGTGGCAACGGAGCTGGCTTCACATGGTCACGTGGTATGGAATGCTTTGTCAACTGAACTGGCCAGCCACAAGGGCATGCAAGCACCGGGTGTCCACATCCTGAAATACGAGTCAATAGATGACTTTGACTGGGAAAAAAAGATTACAGAACCAATGGTAGCTGGAACTTTGTACAAAGGCAATCCTACATTGCCATTTACATCTTTCACGGAAGTTACCGACCGTATACTGAGTGACAAGGAATTATTCAGGAGACTTGAAGAGTTGAAGTTTGATCTGATTATATTTGATGCTATACCCGTAGCGAGAATGTTGACCATCATTGCCCACAGATTGGACATTCCCTTCATATTTATGGGGGCAGCTTTTGAGCAACAAGTTAGCCGGAACCCTTTCATTCCATCTGCCTCCCCCTTCATCATTTCCCCAAGAACACCGAAAATGGACTTTTTGACTCGTGTTGCGAACGTCATTACGACTGTATTGTACGTGTTTGTTTATGATCCGTTCTCTACCTATAGGCCAGTAGCGACCTATGCCCCAGAGAAGCCCTACATCTCAATGGAAGCCTTGACAACTAAGGCCTGGCTTTGGCTCATCGACATTGAACCTCTCCTTGACTACCCAGTAGCCACCTTGCCCAACGTCAAGCTAATTGGATCTTTGTCAGCGTCTGATCCAAAGCCACTCCCTCAAGAATACAAGGAGTTTATGGACAAGGCAAAAGAAGGCGTGGTCATTGTATCTTTTGGAAGTAATGTGAAGTCGCTTCCAGATGAAATGTTGAAAAGGTTACTGGATTCATTTTCGCGAACCAACTACAAATACATATTCAAGACAGACAAAAGGGTCAAGGTGGGACCTAACGTACTGTTGACTGACTGGATGCCACAATCGGACTTACTTGCCCATCCCAACACTAAATTGTTTATCACCCATTGTGGTGGTAATGGTCAGAACGAGGCTTTCTTACGTGGTGTCCCGATGATTGGTTTTCCCATATTTGCAGATCAACCGTATAACTCAATGAAGCTTGAGTATCATGGATTCGGTATTAATATGGATTTGAAAACATTTACTGTTGAAGATTTGGTGTCCAACATCAATGAAGTGATTCAGAATTCTTCCTACTCACAGAAAGTCAAGAAAGCTGCCGAAATCACCAAGCTCCGGGAAAGAAGTCCCAAAGATGAAGCTGTTTACTGGATAGAACATGTGCTCAAATATGGCGGCGCCCATCTGAGGTCGTATTGTCAGGACATGCCGTTGTATCAGTATTTGTGTCTGGACGTCATCGGGCTTGTCCTGCTCATCCTCCATGTGTGTGTTTTCCTTCTATGGAAGTCGTGCAGCTTCTGTTTCAGAACTATTGTCCAAAGACCAAAAGAAAAGTGTGAATGATTTGTTGGTGACTATTTGAAATAGAAGCATATACTATTAAACATACGTCCGGTATAATAAATAGAAATAATTCACAGATATTTATATGTTAAAAGTGTGACAGGGACATTCGACTGAGATTTGCTTTGGCCTTATGCGTTCTTGTGTTGTCATCTTCTAACACAACAGGTGCGCACATGACATTAAATGACGTGTCTCTGTTACGACTCATGGGTGGTATTTCGGAATTCTTCGTTCAAAAGTCATTACTATGTAATTGGCATCTATTACCGAAAAGTCTAAAGTCTTTCACTCATATTTGACCTTTTAGTCGCAGTATAAAAGGACTACTTTTTGTGGGTAGGATCGTGGTAATGAGAAACAATTGAAACTGTGTATCCTAATACGATAGATTTTCATTATCAGCTGTCCGTTACATGTGTCAATTTTGGTTTCATTTGCCATTAGACAGGCTTCGTAATTTTGTGCATTTTATATCGGAATTGTACCAAGTTCGTGATAAATCCTGCTGGTGTATGTGTTATGCAAGTCCCTGGAGCTGTGCATCTGATTTGCACATCAATACATATTATATACACATTAAAGAAAGTATCGCAACACACCATATTTTTCCTGGTATCACTATGTCACCATTACCCATAACAAATGTACTTACTCAAACACATTTACGATGTGTAACTACATGAAATGACCCTCTCACACATTCCCATAACTAATACGCATCTAAACAATGAAATTTTAATGTAAAGTATATACATGTTATAATGTCTAAGAGCTTAAACAAGTATAAATAAAATGCATATTATTAGGCATTAAATCAAATCTGAATGAGGGTTACATATATACATGTGGAAAAAAGTATTGCTTCACCTATGTTTTTAAACCCAAGTATAGCCATTTATATTATATCATAACTATAATGTGATTATGTGAGTATTCATTGAATGACATTGCTAAGCCACATCGTGTATCCAGAATACGCGAGAGAAATCCTCCAGTGCCAACCATTGTTGTACTGGGAATAACCATCAATCAAGGCCTCAACGTCAAGCTTAACGTCTGATATAGTCAGTGAGAAGTGGCATCGAGGAAGAGATTGCAGTTAGCGTATGTTGCACAAGTTCTTGACATCGTGCTCGGTTAGATAACTCATTGAGGATTGTATGCCACAATCTTGAAACTGACCGCACCTGCAAACGTTATAACACTAAGTTGGCAGCACTACAAAATATGTGATTGTTCTTGCCATGTTGTCCCCTGTGAATAAACTGTCTTTTAGATTTGCCATTTAATTATTCGTTAAGGGTCAGTGTATTAACATGGAAAACGAAAGTCAAGTTGGATAACTTTGTGGACATTCTCCTTATGTATGATCACATACACTCTTCTTATGTGTTATCATATGTTTTATCACATACAATATCCTAATGTGCTATCATATACACGCTCCTTATGTGTTATCACATACACTCTCCTTATGTGCTATCACACATATTCTGATTTTGTGTTATCACATACATTCTCCTTATTTGTTATCACATACGCTGCCCTAATGTGTTATCAAATACACACTCCTTATGTGTTATCACATACACTCTCATTTGGTGTTATCACATACATTCTCATTTTGTGTTATCACATATATTCTCCTTATTTGTTATCACATACGCTGCCCTAATGTGTTATCACATACGCTGCCCTAATGTGTTATCACATACACTCTCCTTGTGTGTTATCACATACACTCTCCTTGTATGTTATCACACACGCTCTCCTTGTGTGTTATCACATACACTCTCTTTGTGTGTTATCACATACATTCTCCTTGTGTGTTATCACATACACTCTCCTTATGTATGATCACATACACTCTCATTTTGTGTTATCACATACATTCTCATTTTGTGTGATCACATATATTCTCCTTATGTGTTATCACATACACTCTCCTTGTGTGTTATCACATACACTCTCCTTGTGTGTTATCACATACACTCTCTTTGTGTGTTATCACATACATTCTCCTTGTGTGTTATCACATACACTCTCCTTATGTGTTATCACATACACTCTCATTTTGTGTTATCACATACATTCTCATTTTGTGTGATCACATATATTCTCCTTATGTGTTATCACATACACTCTCCTTGTGTGTTATCACATACACTCTCCTTGTGTGTTATCACATACACTCTCCTTGTGTGTTATCACATACGCTCTTCTTGTGTGTTATCACATACACTCTCTTTGTGTGTTATCACATACACTCTCCTTGTGTGTTATCACATACACTCTCCTTATGTGTTATCAGATACACTCTCCTTGTGTGTTATCAGATACACTCATACTTGGCTTCGGTTCTAACTGTTTGAATCAGAGATGTGCAGTAGATGACACGGGGTACATCTGTAGTCTATTGGTGCGCTAGAAATTGGCAAAGATCAAAGTACAGTTGGTAATATGTCTAAGTCTGCTGGACAATGGGGCATGAGATGCTGACGATCGACCCTGTTCAGTGCATCCCAATCAACGACAAGACTGATCCAAATGAGGAAAGTTTCAAACTTTCATCTGGCTGCTGGCTGACGAGACAAATGTCTACCTGATGCACATCTCCGTGCTCGATGGCAATGTTCTGTTGCTTCTCGTGGAATCGTTCTGTTGCCATGGTGTCCCCATGGTGTCGCCGGTGTACGCACTGTACGTCGTCAACATGGACGTCAAGCCAGACATATGACGAATTTGTCCGGGGATAGATTAGCTACACTGTGAAATCCATCTGTCGACGTTTTCTCTTTCAGGCAGCGGTGGGGTAGCCTACTAGTTAAAGCGATCGCTTCTCACGCCGAAGACCCGAGTTCGATCCCCATATATGAAGCCCATTTCTGGTGTCCCCCGCTGTGATAGTGCTGGAATATTGCTAAATAAAAGTGGCGTAAAACTAAACTCACTTACTCTTTCAGGCTGACAACTCCCTTGATCACCGTGCACGTATAGAATATCTTGATAGCTTTAAAGAGCACATCTGCTATGGCACTGGCTTGGACAAAACTGTTACGCCGATATAGTCTCAGACTCTTTCTAAAATGTTCAGGCTCAAATAACTGTGGTTCGCCGGGCATTTGCAGAAGTACTTCACATTTTGACGTGTTCTGGCCGATAATTATGTTTAACGGTTTTGAAACAATCCCTCGCTAGGACGGCGACTCTCCAAAATACGATCTCGGAGGGCGTGCAGGGGTCATATAGTTACGTATCGCAGTTGTAAAACGAGATTGTCTCAGATTGACAGGTGCATCAGACACACGGTGAGATGACCGACTCAATAGCGAAAGTCAGGAGCATGAGTTAAAGTGAGGGGTAGGACAGCATTCATCGGGGTTTGAGCAAGCTATGAGACGAGGAAATCTAGGCCAAACACATAATTATTTAGAACAAAGTTGGGCAAGTCATCACAGTCATTTTCAGGAATCTCAACCTTGAACTGGACACGATCGAGGACTTCAGGTAGGTCAAACATCAATGTACACGTAAACGCCAATGTACACATACACGTGCAGGTAAATGTCACTGTACACAAAAATGTCAATGTTGACGTTAACATAACATGTACAACGAACATGTTCATATATACGTGCAAATGTAGACGTAAATGGAGGTGTCTCAAGTGACAATTTCTGTTTGGTTAAGGACAAACGTTATTGATGAACAACTTCTTATTCAGGTGATGCAAAGTTTTTCGCTACAGATTCTTGTATCATAGTCAAGGAGGCATGAAACAGGTCGAAAACAGGGTTATGTATATACACTGTTAAAAAAAGAAACGGATAGGCCTAAAATTAGGAACTGTAATAGTACATAAGTCAATCAAGCTTGAACATAGACGAAGGAAATTGGACACACGGGTGAATATATGCATTGTTGTCATTGTCAGCATTAATTCAGTTCACCACTGCACATGTGTGGACACAAAGGGACGTTTAGTTCAGTAGCTAGGGGCGCTACCCCTTGCAGTCGTCACTGCTCGACGCCGCCTTGGAAGGGAGTGCACAAGTCGCCGGATTGTTTGCTCAGGGAATTCTTCCCCATTCCTCCTGCAGCGTGTTGGCAGGTTCTGCAAGTGTCTGAAGACAATGGTGACGTTTACGGACACGTCGATCAAGTTCGTCCCATAGATGCCCGATCGGGTTCAGATCAGGCGATTTGGAAGGTCAGGGATGGACCTGATAGGTACCTGCTACATGAGCAGTAAGGGGTCGAGCGTTGTCGTTTTGAAACAGATCCCTCTGGCGGTTAAAAAATGGGAGGAGGTGAGGTTGCAAGATTTGGTCGATTTTGCAATTTGCTGTAAGATTGCCTTGAACCACCACTAGCTCTGATGTACCCGTGTAGGACATGGCTCCCCACACAATGACGCTTTCTCAACAAAAACGCAAGTTGGCGCAATTCGTGCGTGTTGACGTCGATAGGCACGGTGTTTACCATCCTGTCGTTGCGGGTGGAAACGCGATTCATCGTTGAACCAAACGCGTTCCATGCCTTCCATACACGTCGCGGTCGGTGTAGTCGTGTAAGGAAAGGTCCAACTTTTGGACGATATGCTCGAATTCCCACTTTTCCCATAAGATTTCTAATGATTTCGTTGGAAATTCTTCGAAGACCAGGCACCTGTCCTGCAGTGTCCGTTGCTGTAGCAATTCGATGACGTTTGTGAAACACCTGGATGAATCATTCCTGAGCAGGACTGATCACTCTTGGTCTTCCACTTCTGGGAGGATCTTGGTCAAATAGAAGCGCGTATATCGATGTCAAAATCTAGAAATGGTGTTGTGGTGGACGTTGAAGTGTCTTGCAACGGCATATTGGGACTCCCCTGCTTCCAAACGTCCAATGGCAACATTTCGGCCTGTGGCATTCAATCTTAGCACTTTTGATCTTTGTTTACGCCGTAAATTTTGTAATAAAATAATGAATTTGGCTTGGCCTTTTATAGTCGATGTTTCTACTCGTGTGTCCGACACATTGCACGTGCATTACGTGGAAAACCTTTTTCTGCATGCATGTATCGTTTTCATTTTTTTTATAACAAATGTTCACAAACGCATTTTGGGATGCGTCTGCGCGCAATACACAACGATAGAATCACCTGAATATAGAAGTTGTTCGTCTATAAAGTTTGTCCTCATGTGGCGTGGCTCTCCAAGTTCTGAAAATGCCTCTCAAAGAAATTTCTATTTGTTTTACAGACAGCATACATTATCCAGGATGAGGTTCGATACCGGAAGTGTGGCTCTGCTGTTGCTGCTCTGTCTGCCAGGGTTCCAGTCCGCCAGGATTCTCTTACTGTACTACCCAACATACAGTCACATCCGGGGATCGCTGGATGTGGCCACGAAGCTAGCGTCACGTGGTCACGTGGTATGGAATGCTTTGTCAACTGAACTAGCCAGCCACAAGGGCCTGCAAGCACCGGGTGTCAAAATTCTGAAATACCAGGCTATAGATGACCTTGGTATTACAGAAAAGGTTATAGATACCATGGTAACTGGGAATTTCCAAGAAAACGATCCTTCCCTGCCGTTTCATGTTTTCACAGAAACATGTGACCTTATACTAAGGGACAATGAATTATTCAGGAGAATCAAAGAGTTGAATTTTGATCTGATTATAATTGATATCATGCCCATAGTTAGAATGCTGAGCATCATTGCCTATAAACTCGACATCCCCTTCATGTTCACTGGGGCAGCTTTCGAGCCTCAGGTTAGCCGGAACCCTTTCATTCCATCTGCCTCCCCCTTCGTCATTTCCCCAAGAACACCGAAAATGGACTTTTTGACTCGTGTTGCGAATGTCATTACGACTGTGATGTACGTGTTTGTCTATGATCCGTTCTCTACCTATAGGCCAGTAGCGACCTATGCCCCAGAGAAGCCGTACATCTCAATGGAAGCCCTGACAACTAAGGCCTGGCTTTGGCTCATCGACATTGAACCTCTCCTTGACTACCCAGCAGCAACCTTGCCAAACGTCAAGCTAATTGGATCTTTGTCAGCGTCTGAACCAAAGCCACTCCCTCAAGAATACAAGGAGTTTATGGACAAGGCAAAAGAAGGCGTGGTCATTGTATCTTTTGGAAGTAATGTCAAGTCGATTCCAGATGAAATGTTGAAAAGGTTACTGGATTCATTTTCGCGAACGAACTACAAATACATAGTCAAGACAGACAAAAGGGTCAAGGTGGGACCTAATGTACTGTTGACTGACTGGATGCCACAGTTGGACTTACTTGCCCATCCCAACACTAAATTGTTTATAACCCACTGTGGAGCTAATGGTCAGAACGAGGCTTTCTTACAAGGTGTCCCGATGATTGGTTTTCCCATTTTTGGAGATCAACCGTATAATTCAATGAGGCTTGAATATCATGGCTTCGGTTTTAAAATGGACTTGAAATCGTTTACCGTTGAAGATTTGGTCTCCAACATCAATGAGGTGATTCAGAATTCTTCCTACTCACAGAAAATCAAGAAAGCTGCCGAAATCACCAAGCTTCGTCAAAGAAGTCCTAAAGATGAAGCTGTTTACTGGATAGAACATGTGCTCAAATATGGCGGCGCCCATCTAAGGTCGCATTGTCAGGACATGCCGTTGTATCAGTATTTGTGTCTGGACGTCATCGGGCTTGTCCTGCTCATCCTCCATTTTGGTATATTCCTTCTATGGAAGTCGTGTAGCTGTACGTGCAGCAGGTGCCGTGGTCGTCAACCGCCAAAAAGGATGAAACGTGACTAGAAAAGACGACCATTCGTCTCAACTTTACTCCTTCCGTAATCGCCCCCATAGCGATACAAACCGGAATGTGCATAAGGATTGAGCACATTGATGGCAATAATCTGCAGTACTAATACAAGTTTTGGCAAAGTTTGGTCGTTTAAAGAATCGTGAAAACTAGAGATCGCCATTTTGAAATTTTAAAGTACACCCATATCAGTACTGTGTTGCGTACCCGCCGTGATATTGCTGGAATACTGCTAAAAGCGGCGTAAACTAAACTCAGTATTGCGTGAATTGAAGTTGTTGGAAGTGATATACCCGTTGAGCGATTCAAATGCACACACGTGCGTTTGTTTACGTAACATTTCCGTGTTTTTCTCATGGCTGTCTTTCTTGTAGGCTATTCAAAGGGGAAAACTTTGTATGTCAGCTTTTGTCAAATGAAGAACAAGGAGTTTCGGACTACATTCACACTCCTTAATAAATCTGCATCATGGATCCATCCATGACATTCATAAGTTCCCCCTGTTTGCTTATCACTTCTAAATGCTATTTAAAGACTTTATAAAACAAGCATTTGTTGGCTTGGAATCTAAGGCTGTATACTGGCCGGACTTTGAAGTTGTCATTTTCCATCACGTCCTCTACATATTCTGGGTCTTGAACCATGGATGGAAATAGGAATCAAATCACAAGTGTGGCGAAGATGGTAATATAATGACTGAGCAACGTCATCATATCCCTTAAATTCAGTAAATATATTGCATAATTTACATTTCTTATTTACATTGACAGTTACGGTATCAATATGGAGATGATGCAGTGATATCCTTTTCACCCGAATCTTGTTAATCACAGCAGAGTCAAAAGGGAGAGAAATGTCCATATCATAAAACAATTCATTACTTTATATGAACCACCAGAGGGCACGAGTCGTTATTGAGCTTGTGATGGAAGCGGATGCACATATAGTCTCACAGAAAGACACGTTAAAAGGTATATTTATTGATAACAGCAACACTATTCCAGTGCCAAAATAACACGAGCTTTGTGGAAAATGTACAAGTTTGTATGTATGTGCGTTTTCACATAGGGAATGTGTTTTTGCCTATGATATATGAGCTGGTTGCTTTTTATTCCTAATAAAGTATCCTACTAGTATTTTGAATATTTCCTTTCTATTCCAACGTTGTTGACATAGTTGTCCTTGTCTTTTATTTGACCACGTTCTAAATGGAATATGTGGAGTCATAGCTTTAGGTCGTGGGACTGTGCTTGTTTACCCTAATCTGGGAGGTACACAAAGTACGTGATCTTGACCTACCAGTTGTCACCCTTCGTTGCTTCTGAAAGCCACGATTGCTGAGTGTGTTAGATGACTGAGTGTGTTAGATGACTGATCACTGAGATAACGTGTTAGATCACTGACTGTGTTAGATCACTGACTGTGTTAGATGACTGATAACTGTGTTAGATCACTGACTGTGTGACTAGATCACTGACTGTGTTAGATCACTGACTGTGTTAGATGTGTGTTAGATCACTGACTGTGTTAGATCACTGACTGTGTGTTAGATCACTGACTGTGTTAGATCACTGACTGTGTGTGTTAGATCACTGACTGTGTTAGATCACTGACTGTGTTAGATCACTGACTGTGTTAGATCACTGAGTGTGTTAGATCACTGACTGTGTTAGATCACTGACTGTGTTAGATCACTGAGTGTGTTAGATGACTGAGTGTGTTAGATGACTGACTGTGTTAGATCACTGACTGTGTTAGATCACTGACTGTGTGCTGGAGACTACGTAGGTACCGGATTCTTAGAGTTGGGTTTCGGATGCCGGATGGGGCACAACCCTAAAAGTACTAGATCACTGAAGGACAGAGACTCACAAGATGACCACGTTCAGTGCATTCTCCATCTGTGCAACCGGATGATGACAATAACGCCATCAGCATCAACAACGATTGTGTCACTACATCAGCATGAATACAGTGATGGCCCGACTGTGTGCTGTGGGACATCCGGGTCTGTCGACCATTTCAGGCATGTCAACGCGTCCAAATTGACTTAATCTTCAACGTAGTACCAGGGGTGTAAGAAGCTGGCAATGTCGCAACCGAGCATGATATCTGTGGATTTTGGGTGACGTGTACATGATTTTTAGTGACGTGTGTCACAATCAAAACACTTTTCAAAATATTTACTTTGTTAAAAACAACAACCCCATTCTTTCGTTTGTACGTCAGTTTTCATGAAACCTAAAGATGGACAAATGGACAAAGTCAAGTCAAAAGAATAATCTTCAGAAGCAGGAAAACAGGATGAATAATGCCACTCAAGATCAAGCTGAGGAACAATCAAAGAAGGTTATTCACATACTATTTATGGTCAGGAAAAAAACCTGTTACAGACAAAGATACTTTACATTAAACTGACTTACAGACAAAGAGACTGCTTTACATTACACTGACTTACAGACAAAGATGCTTTACATTAAACTGACTTACAGACAAAGAGACCTTACATTAAACCGACTTACAGACAAAGAGTTTTTACATTAAACCGACTTACAGACAAAGATGCTTTACATTAAACTGACTTACAGACAAAGAGACTACATTACATTGACTTACAGACAAAGAGACTTTACATTACACTGACTTACAAACATACTTTACATTAAACTGACTTACAAAGAGACTTTACATTAAACTGACTTACAGACAAAGAGACTTTACATTACACATTACAACATTACGACTTACAAACATACTTTACATTACACTGACTTTACTTTACATCACTGACTTACTTTACAAAGATGCTTTACATTACACTGACTTACAAAGATACTTTACATTACACTGACTTACAAAGATACTTTACATTACACTGACTTACAAAGATACTTTACATTACACTGACTTACAAAGATACTTTACATTACACTGACTTACAAAGATACTTTACATTACACTGACTTACAAAGATACTTTACATTACACTGACTTACAAAGAGACTTTACATCACACTGACTTACAAAGATATTTTACATTACACTGACTTACAAAGATACTTAACATTACACTGACTTACAAAAAGATACTTTTACATTACACTGACTTACAAAGAAAGAGACTTTACATTACACTGACTTACACAGACAAAGATTGGCAAGGACTTTAGATACTTTACATTACACTGACTTACAAAGATACTTTACATTACACTGACGTACAAAGATACTTTACATTACACTGACTTACAAAGATACTTTACATTAAACTGACCTACATAGAGCCTTTACATAACACTGACTTACAAAGAGACTTTACATCACATTGACTTACAGACAAGAGACTTTACATTAAACTGACGTACAGACAAAGCGGCTTACATTAAACAAGGTATATACTGTCACTGACGGGGTCTTAGTACAACATGAAAGGAAAGGGATGTAACGCGGTCAACACACCAAGCTCGTTTCAGGGCGAATTCAACAATGCTCACTGTATTGATCCCATTTAAAGTAGGCACACATTTCAAGCCATTAGATTTACCTACAAAATGAGACATACAGCACAAATATCGAAGCAGTACTTTGGGAACTGATGGCGCCTGTCAGCGCGCTAGTCGCCATTCTTTCGGAGACACTTTAATCTCACTGTCATAATGAGTTTACGTACATTTATTCATCGCAATCAGAATTGTGCTGTGCCCGTTCGCCATTGACGACCTTGGCCTTAACCTGCCCCGCACTTAAAAGAGCAAGGAGCTCATTGGCTAAAAATCAAATATGTCCCATCAAATCGCCGACTCTTTTCAGTGCGGGTCAGGTTAAGGCCAAGGTCGTCAATGGCGAACGGGCACGGCTATTTAAGGCTATTAGAATGGTGATATAATGTTTTCTAATATCCTAATTTTCATACACAGTATGGTGTGATTTTCAGAATTAAAATATTGGTAGGCGCAATTGGAAACATTTCTATTGACGCCTGATCTATGCTGGTCGACTCGTGTCCACAAGCAGACAAATCGACTTGGTTAATGTAAATAGAAGCGACAAAACCCTTGCCACATATATCAGTCATCTCTGCTGAAAGGAGAGTCGATTGTACAGTTGTGACTTTGTCATGAGCAGTGTTACAGATGCATGATGCTGTTTGTAGACAAATCGGGTCTCAACAAGACAACCTAGTGATTGTCACCATGCGGTACGATGACAGAGCTTGGTTTTATGAATCAGGTGTTCGTGTAAGGTGTGCGTATCCTGCCACACCGGTGGCACCCGTCACATAAGCTAAGTCTTGTCATTTGTTCACCTGAAATAACTCGGGAACGTATGGTATAAGTCAAAATAGGGAATTGCATCGGACATCTTTTTTGTCACCGATGCATCAAATTTGGAAATTTCCCCCACATGTCTACCATAAAACCATATTAAAGAAAATATAATGTACACCTGAATAAAAAAAATATCACGTACGTGCAAATATACACTCATCGTAAACATGAATGAAAAGTCAATTCTCCATCAACGTAAACGTAAACGCAACTAGCCGGGTCCTACGTAGAAGGGTACCCCTTTCAACTTCCCCTTCACGTACCCCTTGTCAACGTCATAGGTGTAACTACAGCCACGAACACTACAGCACGTTGAAGTCGTTATCGTAGTCGGTGTTGACACAGTAACTATGACTCTCTTAAGGTAGCCAAATGCCTCGTCATCTAATTAGTGACGCGCATGAAAGGATCAACGAGATTCCCACTGTCCCTATCTACTATCTAGCGAAACCACAGCCAAGGGAACGGGCTTGGGCTCCTCGGCGGGGAGGACTGACTTGTGATATATATGCAGCTACGCATATACACGACACAAGGAAAACCCATGGTTTAATCAACTAACACCATCAGTGACTGGTCACACCGTAACACATCAATAAGTTGATTTTTTCGCGCCTATTTTCAAACACAAACGTTTGAAATGCGTGCCATAACATTTACACTAT